ACTGAACAGACAGCGTGGATCAAACTCATCATCAAAATACTGCTGATCTGCCTGCTCCATAAGTAGAAATATGTCCACTTCTAGATCACCGGCAGCATCATCAAGAAGAGCAAAAAGTTCATCTGGACTCGCAGAATTCAAGTCTTGCCCTTTGAATAAAAGTGCCTCAACACCAGGATCAGGAGATACTTCATTTCCTTCAGCTCTTCCTGCCGTTCCCTGATCTAGTTCTAGCGGTACATGGACTGAAATGGTTTCAACAGGACAGTGATTGCTGAGTGCTGAATCAGCCAGAGGACAAATATCACTGAAATTTTCGTCAATAGTAGACACCTCATTGCTAAACCTAAGGGATCTCCTAACTTCTCGAGCCTGAGATTTGACGTGGAGGTCTGAAAACTGCTTACGCTTCCTACAATACGAAGGCTCCGGGGGAGTATCTTCGATTGTGTTAACCGGAGACGGAGAGAGAAGATTGTCCATTGTACCAGGCAAATAGAACTCACAGACACATCACTTCTCTTGGTACACACTTCGAACTTCAGAACCAAAACTTAAGGTCGACTCACGCTTTATAAGGCGGTAAAGAACTACAGATGGAGAGAGGGAATCCTGACCAGAATAGCCAAAACCAAGATCAAGTAAACTTACCTCAATAGATGTGAAAGGCAGATAATTGTTTGGCCACGCTCTTCCCTTAAGAAACTTGCAGTATTGAGAGAAAACTTGCAGTATTGAGAGAAAAGAACAAAATAACCGCACAAAAACACAGAATAAAGCACTATCACTTTCCGTTCCGCTGCAGTAGCCAAAAATAACAGTTTCGTTCTATACCCTTGTCATCGCAATCCACTGCTAACTTATGCCAGGAGACTATTATATTCTGGAGGTCATCAATCTTTTCACTGAGAGTTGAAAAGTTTTCGACGGCCCATTGTTTTGAGCCGTTGGAGATCGGGGACAGAATTTCAGCCGGAGGGCGAGAGATACCAGGTCGAGCCGCCCGAGAACCCGAAAAGAACGCAACTCCATGCAGCTCGGCTCTGTAAATCAAATTAATAGGGTGTCTTCTGCAAGCCGGGCTTAAGCGACCCAACAACGTAGCATTCCGCGGGCCTGCAATTTATAGCGCTCCTCGCCCGTTAATATGTGGCGCAGGAGCATGACGTGTACGAAGTGTAATTGCTCCGCAAGCGAGCGAGGTTCGCGCCTTTCTTCATGCAGTTGACCCACCTAGACGGGGCACCTCCTCTCTAATTGAGTCGCTAATTATTACGCGTCTTAACTTCAACCCCTTTGACTTATGTAGATCTTGCAGCGAGGGAGGGTGCCGCTGTCTTTCACACCATCCCCACCCCGCGTCGGACGGATGCGTACCTCTAAGGACTGCTTCTCGTGGCTTACACACTGGGAAAAAAAAAATCTTAAATTTGCCGCCAAGAAGTATTTCTTCTTAGATCAAGAATTTTGCTGGTTAATATACGCTACATTTTTGCATAACCCAAGCATTATTCTTCTTGAATCAAGAAAAAGTCAGCTTAAAGCATGATAAAGAAAATTCTTGGCGGCAAATTCAAGAGTATTCATGCTTGATCCAAGCTCCTTTTTTTCAGTGCAGACCTAATAGATGTAGTGAATTATAAAATATTAATGCAAAAGGGAATGAAAACCTCCAAATAATTTTACCAAACCGACTCGGACCTGAACTTGCGTGCGGACTCGGAAAGAAAAATACGAAGAGGCATCCATCTGGTCTACACAAATTTCAACAAATAAATTACAGGTCAGTTTAGGGTTAAAGATACACTGGGAAGAAATGGCTTGGATCGAGAGTTCAGACTCTTAAAAACGCTGACAAGATTAAATACTCTTGATTCAATTAGATTTCTACTTGAATCGAAGAGCCGAGCCTCTCACCCTGACCAGATTGGTGGTTTGCGGCTTTATACGCTAAAGATGCAGTGAAGATACTGAACTCAGTATTGTCGGCGTTCCCGATTTGCCGCTCGACGTACAGTCAGTTAGTTAGTTAGTGTATTTTAAGACATTCAGCGTCACAGGCTATTAAACGTCTTTACAGATTATTTTGTAAATGGGAGTATTTACGAAAATTTAAATTTTCATATTCAGAGAGGTGAAGAATCTCACTCAGAATTTTGGTAGCATTATTGGGTTCATCGCATGTAAGTGGGTTTATATTTCTGTTGATTGTAGGGGAGTAGATCTGTAATTGGAGATATCTGAGGGCAGAGCAGTCCATAAGTATGTTTTTGATTGTTAGAGGTGATAAATTACAGAAGTGAATGGGTTGATTTTCTTTGGAGATGATATGATTGTGAGTGAAAAAAGTGTGACCTATCCTGAGACGCGCAATTTGGACTTCATATAATCTTGTTTTGTGGTTAGATGTTCTTGGATACGGCATGGGGGTTCTACGGAGGCGATTCTGCTCACTTGTGCTCCATTCTTGCTTCCGCTCGACGTACAGGATAGTTTTTATCGACCGTTCGATGAGTCTGTATTTTCCGTTTACCACATCAAAACTGGATTTGTATCCTTAGAATACGAATACTACAGAACGTCACAACATCCATAAAGGTGGGGTACCCTTTGGGAGGAAAACTCCGTTTTATAATTTCCAAGCACGTTCGGAAGTTCCTCTGCATGGTGCTTCAAGCCATTAACCGACTCATGGGGGAATTTCAAACGATTCGTTAACTTCTGAAACCTATAACGCGCGGTCATTTGAGCCGATGCCCAATAGGCCGCTTCAAGGTGATTACCATTCTCTTCTCAATATTGTGATCTAAGCTACGGATCGTCGAGAACGCGTTTGAGAGAAAAATGGACCGCGCATTGGAAAAAAAAACACATTGGATCTAGAGTCCAGACTCTTGAATACATTGACAAGAAAAAATACTCTTGATTCAATCAGATTTAAGCTTAAATCAAAAGGAAATCCGCTCTAATTAAGAGGCTTGCTTCTTGATTTAAGCTTAAATCTGATTGAATTAAGAGTGTTTTTTCTCGTCGATGTTTTTAAGAGTCTGGACTCTAGATCCCATGTGTTTTTTTCCCCAGTGCGTTAAACAGAAAGGGACCATGCCACACCGGCAATCGACAAAAACCGGGCAATTTAATTTTTCTCAAGAGAAAGTGTGTGCGGACTCCTTTGAAAATGTTAATAGATTTGCTTCGTGCTATGCAGAAATTTCACTGAATTTCGCACACAAATCCTCAGAACCGTTTTTATGTAAGACATTCAATTGCCCAATGAAATTTAGCAATAGCTGATGGGATATGGTTCCGTTTTGCTTAACGCGGTCCGAATGTTGCATGCTTTTACTTCGCCGGGAGGGTTTGGGTTATAATGGACGATGCAATCAAGAGATGCGCATGTTTGCTTCGTCAGTATTTGAGTCCAATTATTTTTTTGTTTATTTATTTATCTATTTCATTCTTTTGTACATTATTGACCAATAAATCAGCTATGATGCAAGTCAAGACAATCAATCCCTAGTATTTTACTGGATGTCCGGAAGTTAATGTACCTAACTTTCGGGATCGATTTTTCGGCTCAAAATAAGATTTTTCTTTCTTATACACGCATGCCCAAACACGCCGCATTAGTGACCTATGCGCTTCCATATGTGCCATCTTTTCCCATCAAATTGATGTAAATCCTCGGTATCTTTCGTATGTAGCTGTCATTTTAGTAGAAACGCGAAAAATCAAGTGGAGAAGGTACTGCGCAAAATTTTCCAGAACGCGTCATTTCGGGTTGACATAGCTTTGAATGAGTTTCAGATTTTTGAAGCTCTGTGCTGGGTAGGCTAGTTTTACTGAAAGGACCGTAAGGAGTATAGACTGAAAGGACCGAAGGACATAGCGTATGGCAAAAAAAGCGCACAGCTTACTTATAAAGCGTTTTCGGGCATATGTGTGAAGGGAAAAAGGCATATTTTGAGCCGAAAAATCGATCCTGAAAGTTATGTACGTTAACTTCCGGACAACCTGTACCTAAGTAAGAAGGTATATTTAAACCTCAGGATACAGAGGCATACGTTTGGTGAGCAACCATACGGTAAGAAAATCACAAATCTGTAAAAAGCTCTCCAAGACCCGCAGGAGTGATGCAAATCTTGCATCCTTGAACGGAAGCCTCAAATTTAAGGTTAGTGCCTTTAAAAACTGAATTAATATGAATTGATGTTGGTTTTGAACGGAAGCTTCAAATTTCAGGGCAGTGCATCTAAATACTGAACGTATGTTGTTCCCGCCGGACACCGGTAGATCGCGGCACCTGATACCGCTGTACTTAATTGTTGTTATCACCGCCGCGTCTCCTTTCCCCCTTTCGCGCCGCGCCTACCTCGAACCGCGACTACCGCGGCTAGCGATTTTCGGCACTGATTTCAGTACTGATTGGGTCGTATTTACATATTTACATTCTAATATACAACATAAACTAGAGAATATACATAGTGATTAAGTAAGTGTGAAGATGCGAACTAAATCTAATTGGGAAGGGATTGTGGCCTGACCAAGGGCGGCTTTCAACCAGTCCATTGCCTCAGGGTGCCAGGGGGCACTACCCTCTGTCTCGTAGAATACACGCATGTATCTATACAAGTTAATAAGTGGCCAGTTCTGGAGTGCTGAATCAATTAACAGTCCTTTTATTCTGGTCATGGACAACTGTGGCCCAAGCACGGGGTATTCTGGAAAGAGTGCGAGTCGCAGCATTTTCGCTGTTTCTCTATCAACTCTCATCCCACGTGGGACGTGTCCTAAGAATTCCATCTGACCAGGTCGAGTAGCAACTACGATCTTATCAGGATGTATCGTAAAACCTAACTCAGCGACGGCGGATGCCATTCTTGCGTTGTCGGGGTAGCCGTATGAATACGGGAGACCGAATGCGGAATCGTCACCTAAGACGTAAGTCTTGAAGAACGTTCCATAAACGCGAAGCTGGATGTAGGTTTGTACAATGTGGTTCATGATACTTCCGAGAAGTTGGGTGAAGTACGAACCAGAGCAGAGGGGAGACCTAACCTCTTTAGCCACATACGCCCATCGGGCATGACTATGGGTGTCTCAATGAAGTGCTTAATACTATACTCAAAACTATGTTCGACCATTTCATCTTTGAAACGAACGCTCTCACGTGGAATTTCGAAAGCATCCCTAATGAGCCAGGGTTGCGGACAGGGACCGAATGACTGAAAGTCAGTGCCGATACCATAACGTAACTCTGCTCCTTGAGCATCTCCTCCTCTTAAAATATTGAAAATCACAGCCGGGAGTCTCTTGTAGGTGTGGAGTCCGGTGACGACGGGGTAGCCCTGTTGTTGGTAGGCTTGGATAAGCGGTTCCGCAGTTAATCCTTCGAGAAGGATATTGTGGAAGGCTTTCCCCCATACATTTCTGATCTTCGGCGCATCTAGATGGTCAAGTTGCGTTCTAGTCCAAGCTAAGTCAGGTGTGTACCTGTGTGACTCGGGAAGCTCTAGCCAAGTGTTTAAGTGCCAATCAGCTCGTGAGATAGCGATCTCATGATTGCCTGGAGCACCTTTCTTGCCACGATAACCGTAACCGGAACCACTGCTAGGTATGAAAGGAACCTTGTGGAGTTCATCCCATCCATAAGAGGTGACGGGTTCCGGGAGCCGGAACTCTTCACGAACGCGTTTAACGGCGGCATGGTATGCCGGGTGTGTCGGGCGGGTAGTAATTTCTCTATCATAATGCCAAAGGTTGACATAATGACCTTCCAGGGTATAAAACGACCTGGTGTAGTTCATGAATTCTGCGAGCTCAGGCTCGGGGACGAAGTCCTTTAGTGCGCGAAGCACGTAAGGGTCGGTGGTCTGGGGACCACGTTGTATACTGTGACCTCGAACAGTTGATAGGTATAGTAGACTATTATTAGTCGGTCTATCCATCTGCTTGTGGACACGAAACATAATTCATCGAGAAAACGATATAAAATTAGTTTAAGAAGTAAATATGTAAGTACGACCCAATCAGTACTGAAATCAGTGCCGAAAATCGCTAGCCGCGGGTCTAGCCGCGGTAGTCGCGGTTTGAGGTCGGCGCGGCGCGAAGGGGGGAAAGGAGACGCGGCGGTGATAACAACGATTAGGTACAGCGGTATTAGGTGCCGCGATCTACCGGTGTCCGGCGGGAACATATGTGGATGTTATGTCGTTATTGGACTCAGACTTTCAGAGGGGTATTTATTACAGAAGTTATGACTACGGTAAGTCAGTTAGACTACGATTTGTAACCTACGATTTGTCATTCACGATTTCACGTTATTCACTCCTGCTCGGCAGGCCATATTGTTTTTCTACCTAGTTCCTGTCGGTTCCCAAAATCATCCATGATCTCAAATGATCCGAAGGAGGTGAGGTTTGATGGAGTCCAATAGGGATAACTTCTCACACTCTCATTCAATGAGTCAACTAATAGCTTTCTTGTAGATATTCGAGGGCTTCTGCCCGGCGGGGCTGAAAACTTCTCCACCCAGTTCCGTTCGGTTCCTATATTCATCTCGGATCTCAAGTGAGCCGAAGGAGATGAGCTTTGACGGGGATCAAATTTCACATCTTGAAAGAACCAAGACTTTTGTTAATGCATTTTAATGCCAAATTTGTGTAGCTAAGCTATGAAAGGCGTGGTAAAGGATACATCCAACGAGCTAAAAGCCCAGAAATGAAATAATATTTCAGCGTCGCTGAACATAAGGTCTTCCGTGTAGGAACGTTTTACCGGCAGTTTAGCTTTTCCGCCCAATTCGCGTGGTTTTCCCTTTTCCGCCCAGTTGCGGCGATTATCGTTTCCGCCCACTTTCATTTACAATCACTTATTTTCCCGAGTATGCGGCAACGTCGCACAAAAATCAAGAAATGAAATAAAGTAATTAAATTAGGAAGAGAAGAGACCATTAAAATCACAAAATTACTCACCATTTGAAGATTATAATGCCAACAGTACCGGTTCTGGATCGTCTGGGTCGCAGTTTTCTAATTCCGAGTCTTCACTCATCGTCAACTTTGAGGGTAGCTTCTTAAATTCGGCAATCTCGGCTAAAAATTGTATCGTCGTAATGTACTTATATTTGTAGTATGCATCTGTCGTGCAGAGAATCCATTCATCCTGCTCCACCTGGCGTGGCCTTTTTTTGAAAATTTCATTTTTTTTAATCGAATTCATCTTCAATAAAAGAATGCTTTGTGAAGTTTTAAGTTTTGATAGTACCTTCTGAATATCTGGATGGCTGTGGTAAAAATCAAACTGTAGTTTTGAATTAAAACTTTCGACAGCGTTTGTGGTCGTAACGCAATCAGATGAAAATTCAGAAGCCCATAAGATAGGGGGGTAGCGTGCTGTAGGCTCAATGTAATACTTTTTAATGTACTCGTGGAATTTAACGCTGGCGGGATCATTCGGAGCAATTGATTTCAAGGTTGAAAATGCGGCGGGAACATCTTCGGTCTTAAATACGACAAAGCAAAAAAAAAATCGAAGCCACCGTTTTATTTGCAGAAAGGTGAAGTTTTCATCTGATGAGCAGTAGTACGCGTAACGCAATAGTGGCTGTGCGTGTATTTTACGCTACCAACTCTGTCCTAAATGAAACTTACAGCATCGAACACGAACGTGCATGAAAACCTTTTTGGCTGCATTATGTGTTGCTAACTCAAAATCAAGCATCAGCTCAGTTATTTGTAACTCATGATCTGTTATGTCCAAACACATTTTCTTCAGGAGATGCCACATGACAACGTACGTGTGCTCATACTTGTCCGGTAAAAAAAATGAAGCAACATGAATATAAAATCCGTTCTTAAAAACATGAATGGTATACATTTGCAGGAAATGTTTTGGTGCATAATTGAAGGTGCCGTCGCCCAGGATATTTTCGCTGTTGGAAACAAGAAATCTAATGTTTTCAGGATACGTAACACCAACAATTTTTTGGGGTCTGTCCATGTAAATAGTCGGCTCTGTCTTGTCTCTTCTGGATGAGATAAGGAGAGATACTTGGGTCAATGCTTCGTCAATAGATTTCGAAACAGCAGGCAAAAAAATTTTCCTGGCACGATAACCAGCCAAAGCGAGGGGGGCGACATCGGAAAATGTAATATTTTCACATCTATTATTCAATACCATCGGATAAAAACAGAACATATATAGGTAAATAAAGAAAAACGCAGATAAAAAAAATCAGATCCACGACTACCTTTCTGCTGAAAAACGGAACACAGGTTACAAAAGAATAATCAGAAAACACAGTAAACACACAACTACCTCCGGTTAAAAACGGAATACAGATTACGGATTACAAGAAAACAGAGGGAAAACGGGGACATCCAGGAGCCGGGCCACCGCTAGGGTGTGCCTTATTTTTGAGTTTTGCGAAAATCAAGTTGGTCAACCCCTAAAAAGTTTCTATGTAGTCTCTAAATGAACCCCCTAAAAGGAAAAAATTTTAAAAAAATTTTAACCCGTGCCTCAAAGGGCCTAAAGGGCCTAAACCCAAAATTCAAAAATTTTGGCAAGCGACACATCAATTCTGAAGGAAAATGGCAAGTTACGGC